TAAATGTTTAGACTAAGTAGCTTTAATCTCATAACATTATACATTTATATATATTTATCATTTTTATTATATTGACCTTTCCAGCCATGCCTGGCTAACAATACAGAGTTACAAGGACATGGTGCACGTGCACTCATGTACCGTATCCAATAATATAAAACTGACTTTTAGTCTCTACAAAGTGACCTGTCTTGGCTGTGTTTTAGTAGACTAGTAATTTGTAAAATACAGTCACATTTCAATTATTATAAATTATGTACGTACCTAGATTATTCCTATTTTGAAATAAGTTCTTAAACATGATTGAAGTTGTTGTGATGACTTACACACCAAAAATGTTGCATTTTAACCCTATCAGGATGGGCACCTGTATTTTAAAGAATTTTGTAACCATGGTGGTATACATGTTGTAACTCTGAAAGTACTTATTGTATCTTCACAAAATTTGGCAAGCTTTCAGTAAGCTTTAAAAGTCTTTTGTATAACAAAAAATCGGAATTTTTAATTAAGTGTTTTTACTAAAAGTTTCTGTTTAATTATATGGTATCAGAATGTAGACTACTCTGAGTGTAAAGTGATTTTCATACAAAGATTAAGAATACTTTTCTCCATCTGAAAATTTTCAAATTCCATTTGCATAATCCCAAAAATCTCCTAAATAAATATCAGATGTTTTTTTTTTTCAGAAAATTTTTATTTCTATCCATTATTTTCTCTACCCTAACTCTATAGGAGGTTGGTCAATCTGACCGATCTCATAACCACCCAAAAAAGTTTCAAATAAATCTAAATTATCCTTTTTTCTTTCTAAAATGAGTTCAAATTGTAACATGAAACTTGAATTGTTTATCCTAAATAGCTTGAATGTTATAACAATATACATCTGTTTATACTTTAATTTTAATCTAACCTAAAAAGTTTCTAATTTTTACATTTTAGTTACTTTTATAATAATAACTAAAGAATACACATGAAAAACCAGAAATAATGTACTTACTTGGGTCTTCTTTTTTGCTGTCAACTGTTGATGATACATAAGTCTACTTTTCTATACTAATGGTACTACTGCAGTAAATAATTTTTAAAATTAAATAATGCTCCAAAAAACACAGAATAATAACATGCAAAAAGAAGAATATGTCCAATAACTATTACAATTATTCTGGCTTTCTATTTATGTGACAAGAGCCATTATAAATTCAGCTAAGCTCATCGATGTCTTTCGCGTGGGAATTGAGCTTGAACTGGAAGTGAAACTGACAATTATTTGTCCAGAAAACAATGTAATATAATATGTCATTTGATAGATTGAAACTTTGGCTTTCTATTGGTTATAAATAATATAATATTAAACATCAGAGAGAACTATTGACAATTTGTAAAAGAGAGGATATGACAGGTAGGTGTGGCAGGAGGGGTTTCATTTTCTAGTTTATGGCTCTGAAACCAAATAAGATTGAAGGCTATGTAAATCATATTTTGCCTTAACAATAATTATATCATAATGAGTAATTTACATCAACTTCCAAACTTCTTGGAAGGGTGGTAAATAAATCAAAGAGGGAAGACACAGATAACAAACCTCACAGTTCTCATACTAGGGGAGATTGAGGTTTTTTTTCCCACATTTTCTTTTAAAATTAAGAACTTAAAACTTAATTAATATTCAAATATGGTTTATTGACTACATTTTGATGCCAAGTTTATTCGTATATATTGAAAATCAAGTAGTTTATTTAAATTTTGAATGTAACTCTATGAAAGGTTGTGACATGCACATTTTGACCTAACCAATGAGAAAGGGTTAAACTTGGGGAGTGCATAAGCATATCACTAACTTTCACACATGATGTCCATCAAGACACACTAGGCTAAAACTGCTGCCTTCGTAGCAGCTGCCATTCAATAAAATTGATTGTTTAAAAAAAAGTGGGAAACAAGTAAAAAATAAAAATAAGGATGATGTAGAGATGGCAACTCCAAAAAGTACAGAAACAAGGTAAGAATGAATACACAAAACCATACAAATATTCCTACATAAGTAGCCACTGAGTCAAGCTTATGGAAATTAGCTACCGTAAGACTTTATAGCTTTATTCAGTTAAAAAACTTTTATTCAAACCTGAATTCATGCAAATGAAAGAAATTCAACATTTAGTTATAGATAAAAGTTTTTCTTGGAAATTTTTGGCTACTTATGTAGGGATTTTTGTATGGTTTTGTGTATTCATTCCTACCTTGTTTCTGTACTTTTTGCCATTGCCATCCCTACTATTGTCACTATTTTTTTCAAAATAGTTTTTATTACTTGTTGTTTGTTTGCTCAGCTACATGGATGTTTATAATAAAGTAAATAAATTACCACTACACATGTAGAGTTCACTAGGTTTTTCTCACAAAGAAAAAAAATGTAGCTGTTATAGTGTTTTATATGAAAGTAATGAACTGTGCATAAAAGCCGTTCAAAGCTGATTGTAATTTATGCACAGAATAACAGCATTTTTACTCAGATGTGTATATATATACACATCCCAGTCTTAATATTACTTTTGCTTTGCAACCTTTATCCATGACTAGCCTAAAATGCTAGATTTTTCAATATTCACCTCTGTATATCACTAATTGAAGTGACACAGACATTCAAATCCTAAAATATATAAATATGAAGCAATGAACAAGGTTAATTAACAAATATGTACATTCTCAATCACTTATTGCACTTTTTTACCAGTCAGAATAAATTACTTATCAAAATTTACTATCTGCAGTTTCATGATATTTCACCTTCAATTTTATCTGGATAACTCACATAGCAGGTAAATAAAAAGTTAATGTTAAAAAACATAGCACACTTAATATTTCCATGCAAATTTTGAGCAAGAAAACTTCAAATTATTTATACTTTCATAAGACGTCCCCCCACTAGCTCTCCTAGGACTGGAAGGAATGGAATTTCAGTTCGTCCAACAACAGTTACAGAATGGGCCTTGCCTGCTAGGTAAGCTGCTCCTTCCATACCTACACAAGGAACAAAGTATATTATGTAAGGAAACTGTGTTATGGTTATTACCAAAACAACTCTCAGTATAAAATGTACTGCATGCAAATATAACAGAAAGAGAATAAATTTTGAGAATGAACTTTATGCCTGTCAAGGCTAAAAAAGAATGTTAAAATCTTATTTTTATGCATCTCTTGTTGGAAAAACAGTAATGGACTAGTCCTATAATGACATTATGTTATCTGTAGTTGAAAGATACGTTTAATCCACTGAAACAGGAATAAAGAATTTCTTTGATACCTTCTACATATATTGAAATAACATAACATAGCAAACTATGACATTAGTTTCATAATCAACACTAAACAACAGAACAAACTGACAGACATTTATACCTTCTAGGGTTTTAATGAAGGGTAGATTTTGACCTTTGAAGATTCAGAACCTCTGACAGTGCTAATTTGCCTAATTTACTGTTGATGTCACCATAGTTACTAGATTATAATTGATTCAAAATTTTCCTTTTACATGTAATCCATACAAATGAAATAGAACATTCACATTCTTGAATGCCACTGACAAAACTTCAAATTCCTAGATAGTAAACAAACCTTTGAACACTACCATAATACCTTTTATATACATGAAAATATATATTAAATAACAGGGGATGCTTTGCCAAGTTTTATATCTTCAATTTATATGAAAATTACACTAAATAATAATTATGTTCTTATTAAATAATTCTGTCAACAAATAGTTGTTGTTTTTTTGTTTTTGATCATCAAACTAATAATGATTTTTATACCATTGATTATCATAATATCTAATAAATTCTGGTTTAATGAAGGAATCCATACACTTTACAATTATAAATCATGTTTACTTTGCTTGGGTTTGATAAACTGTAATGATTGATCAATACAGACCTACACTAATCAATTAGTGTAAGCTTTTTCAAATATTTTGTGTGATGTGTGAAATTCAAATCAATGATTAATCTTACATTACTCAGGCAAAAATGTCCAATCTAAAGTTCAGTTGTACTTTATATCTCATGAATTATCTGATAGTTCTGTTTTCAAACTCATGAAGAAAGCCATGTTCTTAAACTGTCTGAGAAAAAGTAGCTATAAAGGTTGAGATGCGATGTACATTTTTATGGTCCATTTTTGTTTTTTAACTTGCCAAATACACTACTAAAGTCAAAAAAGAATAATATTAATAAGTTGAAAAAGTACCAACTTTGGCTTATACATTTAAGATGATAAACAGTATTTACAATTGGAAAGTTCATCCATAATTACAAGTCAGATCTCACTGGCCTAATGACAGTATTATTTCAATAGGGTAACATAAGCTACACATTTGCCTAGTAATTTACAACTTATGTGAAGGATTATTAGTTAGACATGGTTCAAAGGGCAATAAAAAAGTAAAAGTTAGGTAGAAACATATATATACAGTTACAAGCTTTAAGTTATTTAGGATAAGCAAATCTAATTTCCTGTTACTATTTGAAGTCATTCTCGAAAGAAAAAAAAGGTAATTTAGATATATTTTAAATTTTTTTTATGATGGTTATGAGGTCAGCCAAACTGACTGACCCTGTATAGAGTAAGAGTAGAGAAAATATATAAATTATAAAGTTTTACTGAAAAAGAAAAACGTTTGAAATTTAATTAGGAGGTTTTAGAGACTAAGGAAAAAATCTGACAATTTTCACATGAGGAAAATTATTTTCAATCTTAACATGAAACTCACTTTACACTTGAAACTGTCAACACTTTGACTCCAAATATTCATGGAGAAATTTTTAATAAAAATACTTAAATAAAATATCTGATATTTTTTGTCTCCAAAAGACTTATAATGTTATTAGAAATAATAGTATGGAAACTCTAAAGGTCAATTTGGGGTCATTGAACTCGGACTGAGTCCATAGTAAGAGAGTAAATGACAGAACATACAAATCTAATTACTAAACAATATATCTGTAGGACAAAAATTTTGATATTCTCTAAAAAGGATTTATGCAAAAAATAGATATCCACGCTTTATATTTTTTAAACTTTTGGTGCTTAAAAATATATTTTTTAAGACAGATACTGATATACACTATAGTCTTTACTTCAGCAAGGTAAAATTGAAAGATTTTATGTCACTAACCAATAAAGGAGTTTCCTACAATAACTACTTTCTTCCCTTTGGAATTCTCTGATATATAGTTAGCTTCTTCTGGTGTTCTCAACTGACATATGAATGCAAGGTTTTTCCCTGGAACATCCAGTATCCTTGGTCTGATTAAAATGAAAAAATTAAGACAATCTATGATTGATTAAGGAGAATCACACATGCAAATATGACCATATGAGTACTTACTACCTAAGAGGAGATGCTACAAAACATACACACATATACTTTACTATAATTTTGTTCTTCACAAAAAAATCATAACTTTGTATTAATATACTGAGTAGAGAAAAGTCTTATGCGCTACCATAGAGAAATATATTTTTAATGAGAATTGTATAAAGAAGTCAGAATAATAAGCTCTATGTCACTATAAAGAAAAGAAAACACATGTGCACAAACAACTGATGTTTTACTTCTAATGACATTTTATTTATATGAAATGTTGAATTCAGCCATTAGCTCAAATGTAGCATCACCATGCAATTATTTGTAAAAGAAAATATTTTACTATAACGAGGAAGTTAACTTACACTCCACAAATTTTGTTTGAACACTTACAAGAATAATTTTTGTAAACTCAATTTTATTCAATATATACTTATTTTATATAATCATAACAGACATGCCTAAATCTTGATAAAATGCACATTTTACAAATCACACCTGGAGTTCGTTCAAATGACAATAGGAAACGTTTTAAAAAAATGTCGAAAAATATACAAATCTGATTTGGATACGTTACCAGTGTTCTTAATGATCTAGTAGGGAATTTGATACTAATAACAAGTTTTTACTTCTAGTTAGAATACACAGAATGCAATTAAACTTACCTTCCACCTGTAGCTATCATCAAACTATCATAGTTGATAATGCTACCATCTTTACAAGAAATTACTTTTTTCTCTCCATCTATGGCAGTAACCTAAATTTAGAATATTTTCACTTTAGAACTTACAGTTTCTCAGCAGTCTCCTTTTAAATATTTGAAAATGCAATAACTTAGTTTAACCATATTCTAAACTTTAAGAAACACTTGTGTTATTTATTACTATCTCTTATATTTACCTGAATAATTTCAAAAGTATACATTTTTGAAAATATAAAAACATTTTTTCTGCCATTTACTTTAAGCCTACTACTATGTTAATAAACAGCAGAGTATCTAAAACAAGCTTACCGTAACTGTTCTTGATTCTAGTGGAGAATGAGACACTAATTAATATTTTTTGTTTCTAGTTTGTATAAACAAAATGCAATTAAACTTAACATTCCACATAAGACAAATGGATGACAAGAGACCATTTGGTCCTTCAAATCTGCTCCTGCACACCCACCCTCGTGATAAGAGGACAGTAAAACATAAATTCCTCCCTTATTCCTAACAAACTTATTGATTTCTTTCTTACATTTTTTGTATGGTGCTAGCCTACACTTTTGCTGACAGCAACTTATTCCATAAGCAAATAATCCTGTTTGAAAAATTAAGCTGTTAACTGGAACCTAGCTTGTCTTTTCAAATCTTAAACTTGTTCTCTCTTTTCCTGCTATCTTTGGAGTTCAGCACAAAAAACAAAGGCCCTTGTCTTATAGATCCCCTGTAAAATATTGTAATCTTCAAAATTATCATATTTTCCTCTTCTTTTCTCAAGAACAAATATCTCTTTTTATTCCCTTTCCAATGAATCAATTTCCTATTTGAGAAAAAGAGACCAAATCTGTACACAGTATTCCAAGTGAGGCTTAATTCACTTCATCATGATGTTATATGTTAAAAAATATATATATACAGAGTAATGAAAAACACCACCTCCTTCTCATATTGTACTTCCACATCTGCATCCTTATACCAGTCTTGGTTCCTCAACAGGAGGTCTTCAGCTTGAGCATTTAATACCTAAGACATCCAAACTTCAATTTCTGAACAAATACAAAACATTATCTTTAAATCTAGAAAACACTAAAATCCAAATGTAATCACTCCTGGCAAAAATCAGTTTAAAATGCCTTAAAACACTAAAATTCAAATGTAATCACTCCTGACAAAAATCAGTTTAAATTGCCTTGTGAGTGAGAAAACCTCCACATGTGTCTGATGTTCCAAAAAGTAAGTTTTTTTCTTTCTTAGCGATCTATCATTTTTAATCACTCACATGAAATCATCATATACCACTCCATATATTACATATTTCAAAATAATAATTAAGAAACTATCTCTAGTGCAGTATGTTCTACAATTAACTCAACTTTTTAATTCTAATAATAAACTTGAGTGGTGTCTTGTATGTGAAAACTACTTTGTAATCTTTCTAGTAACAAACTCTTTCCATTCCTTTACACTACTTCTCTAAAACAGCATAAAAAGACTAAGTTAAGCAACCATTCACTTAAGTTACTTTAACATGGAGCTAGTATGAAGTCTTCTTCTTAATTACCAGTGCTTAAATGATTAATTTGTATGAATATATATCTATAAGAAAGTAATGTGACATTTCAAGTTTAAATATGAAGTCAAATTTTACAATGGAATCAGAAATACAGGCAGAAAGATTACCATACTAACATATTCAAAATGTAAACATTTCTAAAGAATATTGTATTTACATTAAATTAAAGACTTTTTAAACAAAGAAACAATATGTCTTAAGTTAATTTAAATAAATAGAAGGAGTATAATAATAGCATCTAAATTCATTATAAAATCATCTTCTTAAAAAAGTGTCAGTCCAATCAGAATATTTCCAAAATTAACCCTTTCCAAACAAAATATTTCTGACTAAGAAATTGTTCAAATACAGTTAGTACTATTATTTTTACTTAAATATTGAAAATCGATATGCAGGTGTACACTTGACATCTGAAAGGCCCAAATAGGATTAAGTTAAATGTCTATTGCTACAAAATAATTTACAACACATTTCTGTTCAGTGATATCTAAGATATTTTCACCTTGCTCAGTTTGGGCCTATCATATGGAGTGTGTTTTTCTTTTGTAACCAAAATCAAACGTCCTCTAAACCCCTCTTGTCTTAGAGTTTCAATGCAAGCTTGACCAGCTCCACCTATTGAACAGAAAATCAGGAAAAAGGTTTCTCAATTAGGCAAAACAATATTTTCCTTAAAAGATTGTTGCTTTTAAACTTTCATCAATTATCCAAAAATTATTATCAAAAGTTAAAAAATAAGCCTAGAAGAAAATGCACTAACTCGTAACACCAATTTATACAGTCATTTAATTTGCAAATCTAACCTATATATATATATAAACCACTGGTGTGTGTCACTTCACGCTTGATTTCTCAAAATAGAAGGAGCCATAAAAACCAGATAGAATAGTTTAATTGCTGTCTGCCCATTACGATTTTAGTGATGTGGAGGCAAGGGGACAATGAGGGAGGAGGGGTGCTGTGAAACCTTATAAATGTGGTGAGTGTTGGTATAATAAGCTTAAAGTAAAGACATAGGGTAGGATCACGTAGCCTAGAGCCAAGTGCATAAAATTTATTATGAAAATAAGAATATCAATTAAATTTTAAACTTAAATCATTTTTGAATTAGGCTATTTTCTGTTATATCACCAACATTTTAAATAAAAAATAAACCTCTTTAACCAATGGAGCCTCTAAACTGTTTTGTTATCTATACATTTCATTTTATACTTTCAGTACATAGACTAACAACAATATTAGGTTATAATGGCTGGAGACGGCTTAAATGGGTAATGAAGAAAAACTTTAATATAAGTTTAACATGACAGCAAATGTCCAACGTTTCGACAAGGTTTTGTCATAATCGAAACGTTGTCCATTTGCTGTCATGTTAAACTTA